CGAAACTGATGTGTTTTAATGTGAACTTTAGGTTACTTTTTTCTAAAACTATTCCATTAAGTAAACCCTTTCTCTTAGTTTTTATCTTGAAGTGTTTTTCATTTTCACTATTGGCAGAGGGCATGTGTGCTAGACAAAGAGAGAGAAAGAAAAAAGCACCCCCAGTGGGGCAGAGTTGAGCCACAGACTCCCCCCCACCCCATTTCTCTATCCCATTAGGATACATGTGCGCACACACACACACACACACACACACCAGCATGTTTTTCAAACCCCTGGGGATAAGATTTGAACTGCATCGGCCATAGGCGTTTCTGCCTCTAATACATAGCACTTAACTACTGCACCACAGGGTGGGCCCTGGCTTGAACTACTTCCACCTTCTTTCTTTCCACTTATTAACCAGTCATCTATCCTCTTATACCATTAGCAAGAAAGTTATAGGTGCCAGGAAATATTGATACCTCATGGTTTGCCTTGTTTCTCATCTTTATAGGCTTGATAATTCTTCTAGCCCAAACTAGATCAACTAATTTCCCATGAAATATAGAAATAGCTGTGAGATGCATTTAGTTAACAATTTATGTTTTTAGCATGTTATCCAGTATTTCTATTGAAATGTTCATGTATGTTTTGTTTGTATGTATGTGCAGATGCTGGAAAAGAAAACACTTGCACAGAAATTGAGTTATTTCTATAATTTCCTCAGTATTTTCATGATTTCTATTGTATATCTCAGCTTTGTTAACAATCTCTGCTGAATGTCATACAAACTTTTAAAATGTATGCCTGGTGATGTTGTAATCACCTTCTTCCATTCCTTCACACTATCAGGTTTTGGGCATTTGTGAGAGTGCCTGGCGTGTTTCAGGCAGAGCAGGACAGGGAATTGAGTGTGGTCACTGTGTGGGATGCATTTTTTCTTGAGCAGTAAATTCTGCTGTACCTCAGAGGTGGCGCATACACTCTTACATGTAATTTATTGAAGTACATAAAAGACACTGGTGCCAGCATTGCTAGCTTCTAAATCAGAATGCCCAATGGCTTTTTTTTATATTGTGATTCTGGCTTTCATGATATGCCGTATCTCAAAAGATTAAAATTACATGATATGAATGGGAAATTTTTGTGCTTAGAATTGAGTTTTA